AACTGGGAGCTCATTTTGGGATATTTATTTAGGTGTTGCTCGGTTGGTTGGTATTTCTGGTTTTTTGTGTATTGGAAATGGAATACCCTAGGGGTCCTTGTGCATGACTAGCTAAGCAAAAGCTCTACCACTGAGCTCCCCCCTAGCCCCAGGAGTTAATTTTAATGTGGAACAAAAGAACTTTCCATCCCAGGGAACAATATGTGCAAAAGTCCTGAGGTAGAAAGGAACCACTGAAAAAAGGCCAAAGGTAAGAGCGGCCAGTCGCCGAGCCAAGCCGAACTACACTGGGCCCATGGACCCCAGCAATGAGAAACTATTAGATCTGCAGTTTTAAGATGACTTGGGCTCTGTCACATTTAGGCAAAGTGACTCTCTGAAGCAATTCCTGCCAGGACACAGTTCAAAGAACCTTACCCTGGATCCTGCAAAACAAGTTTGTTTTTCTTTCTTTCTTTCTTCTTTTTTTCCCCTCTGGGGCGTGGCAGTCCACCCTGGCTATGAGCTACCTCCCTTCTGTTTCTGTTTTGTGGATACAGTTTAAAGGCCAGAACTTTTATCAGGCCTGGGCCTGCTCTTCTTTCACTAGCTCCCAGGGAACTACCTCATCTCTTCCCAGGCCCACCCCCTTCTAGAGTCTCTCAAGGGTTACTTTTTCCCCCTTGGTGGTGCTAGGGGTGGAATTTAGGGCCTTGGGGAAGTTAGGTAAGTGCTCCACTACAGTCACACCCTCCCCCTCACTCGAAAAATCTCCTCTCCAACTTGCCAAGTGGCCTGTGGCAAAGGGGAAGCAATCCATCCTTCTGGGCTTGCTTACATGGCGTGCAGAGAAAACCCAGAAAGACCCGAAGACTGCTCTCATGGCGCTGTCATACCCATTCAATCCTAGTTTTAAAAAACATTCTTGAGCGCAGTGAGCATCGCCTCAAGGGAGCAGTCAGTGCTTTGGTTCCCTGCTCCTAAGACAAGGCCTTCAGTTTGGGACTCCCTCAGGCACGGCGGCAGCCACTGCAGTACCCGCAGGTGGGTTTGGAGGATTTGGGACGTCCACAGCTGCAAGTTCTGCATCCAGCTTTCTGCCACAGCTCACACAGGCACTACTGGACTCTTTGGTGGTACTCAGAACAAAGGTTTTGGATTTGGTACCAGTTTTGGCACAACAACGGGAACTAGTGCTAGTTTAGGTACTGGTTTGGGAAATGGACTGGGATTTGGAGGATTTAATACACAGCAGCAACAATCGACATTAGGTGGTCTCTTCAGTCAGCCTATGCAAGCTGCTACCCAGTCCAGCCAGCTGGTAAATACTGCGAGTGCTCTTTCTGCTCCAACACTACGGGGAGATGAGAGAGACGCTATTTTAGCAAAATGGAATCAACTGCAGGCTTTCTGGGGAACAGGAAAGGGATATTTCAACAATAATATTCCACCAGTGGAATTCACACAAGAAAATCCTTTTTGCAGGTTTAAGACTGTAGGTTCTAGTTGTATGCCCAATAATAAAGATGAAGATGGGCTAGTGGTTTCAGTTTTCAACAAAAAAGAAACAGATATTCAAAGCCAGCAACAGCAGTTGGTAGAGTCATTGCATAAAATTTTGGGAGGAAATCAGACCCTTGCTGTGAATGTAGAGGGTATTATTAAAACATTGCCAGATGATCAGACAGAAGTTGCCATTTACGTTGCTGAGCGTTCTCCAAGCAGTACCTCGAGAAGAGTTCCAGATACAACACTGAATACCCACTGTGAACAAGCCAATACAAAACACAACTACAGCAACCCTTTTTACAACCCGAACAGAACTTCCTCCTGCACAGATCAGACAGCTTTTACACAGTCCTCCCCCTGGTGTCGATCCTGTTATTTGGGAACAAGCCAAGGTGGATAACCCAGATTCTGAAAAGTTGATTCCTGTACCCATGGTGGGTTTTAAAGAACTTCTCCGAAGGCTGAAAGTTCAAGATAACATGACTAAGAAGCATCAGACCAGATTAGATATCATATCTGAAGATATTAGTGAGCTACAAAAGAATCAAACTGCAAGTACGGCCAACATTGCACAAAACAGGAGGAAACCCATGGATCTTTTCCATAGAACCATACAGGTCCTAATCAAACAGGAAATTCAAAGGAAGACTGGTTATGCCATCCAAGCTGATGGAGAGCAGTTGCAGGTTCAGATAGGTACAATTCAGTCTGAACTAAATGCATCTACTCAGTTCAAGGGCTGACTAAACAAACTCATGTCCCAAATCAGGATGCAGAACCATTTTGGAGCAGTCAGATCCGAAGAAAGATATTACGGAGATGCAGATCTGTTATTCGAAATCGAGCAGCATTTGAAACAACAGGAAGGCCTTAGCCACTTGATTAGCATTACAAAAGATGATCTAGAAGATACAAAGTCGGTAGAACTTGGATTGAATGAAACCATCCACATCAGAGGCAGTGTCTTTAGTTCACAGTTCACAAACTTGTGTTAGAAGTTTGTGAAACGTATTCTCTTACTGTATCAGGCCTTCCTTAAGAATGAAACTGACCACATGGAGAGAAAAAAAAGAAAACAATCCTCTCCTGGCTTCAATTTTTGAGATTACTGACATATTATTCTTCACTAAATCTGAAATAAACTAGTTACCTCACATTCCTTCAAAAATAACCTCCAAAAAATTGACATCTACACTTGATCTTAGCCAAAAGGCCGAGAAGCGATAAAAAATTGGCATCTAAAAAGCTATATATACTTTAAAAGAGGGAAGTAACTAATTAACATTTTTACAACAGCATTTCTTAAACATCACAGTAATTCTCCATTCTGCTTTCTATGGCAAGTAAATATGAAATACAAACTTTGCATATAACAAGCTGTATAAAAGGCTGAAGATTTGAGATTCAGAGCGTAAGTGGACATCGGTTTTTATATATGTGAATTCAACTTGGAAGGAGTAAAGAAAATCCAAAAGTAAAAAAATAAATAAAAAACAAAATTCTAAGATAATGTCACTCCCTGGGCTAGGATTCCTGAATTCTCCAGGGCCCCCTCAGCCACACACACCCTTCCCCCAAACCCGGACGGGGAATAGAGGGCGGTCGGGTTGGCGGGGCTCCAGCCTTTCGGTTTCTCCACGAGCAGAAGCTTCACCCCACCCACCCTGCCCAGCTGAGCCTTACAGCCAAAGACACTTCCTCCAGTAAGTCCTTCCCACTCCTTCCGCTCCGCCCAGGAGCTGCTCTGCGAGGGATCCTCACCGCGCTCCAAGGAAGCTCTGAATTTCACTGTACTTGGATCACTAGCTTCCTTCCTCCCTTGGACCTCTACGCATCCATGTAGGCAAGCACAGATGCACGCACGCACACACACAGTGACTACGCCAGGACACAGGTCCTGGACATCACAGGCCCAGCCCACAGCACAATAAATACATTTAAAAATTAATCCTAGGAATGAGAAACAGTGAGCTGCCACGGTTCCTGCACAGGCCCACTGTGGCTGCAAAGCGCCAAGCCCATCAAGTAACTGAACTTGCCCTTGACCTTGCGCAGGTCTGCCTTCTGCCTATACCCTCGAGGTCTTCTTTTCTTTCACCTGACATCCTTCAAAGCCAACTCCTGGCCTTGGACTTCTCCTAGAAGTCCACTCCCCCTTCATATCTCCGAACTCTTTCTGCAGAAAAACCAGCCATGTGGCAGCGTTCTTACTTCAGAATTCTCACTTTTCCCGCTGGATTCAAAGGGGCCTCGGAACTTGCTGTTCAGGTCTGCACCGAGGTCACGCTAGGTGCAACGTGTTTTGTGAACCTGCACCGCGCTGCCAGGGAATTTATTACAGAAGTAGATTCCCCGCCTCGCCCCGCAACCTGCTGATTTGGAGTCAGCCTTTCAACCGGCTCCGCAGGTGACTCGTGTGCACCTTAAAGTTTGAGAGGCGCTGGTCTCGATTCCGTGAGCTTTCAACAAATATTTTGGGAACACAAGTCGGCGCTCGGTATAAACACAACGCCGCGGTGGGGGAGAGGGAGGCACAGGCCTTCCGGGGCCTTCAGGAGTCCTGCAATACTGAACTCAGCATCACCAGGGAGAGCTGTTCCGAGGCTCAGTAACCGCCACACCAGCATTCCGGGAACTTGACCCGGTTTGCGGCGGGCGGGGAGGCGCGGAGGTGTGCCGTGGGCGCTGACGAGGCCGAGTCCCGCCCCTCGGCTGTCACCCTGTCAAAACAAAGCCGCCGCTGACAGCGCGGGGCCAGCGGCCGCGGCCTCGCCGTGCTCGCAGCGTCCGGAGCTGCGGCTCAGGGCCACCGCCGCCTGGGGCGGGCGCGCAGGGAGGCCGGGCGCGCAGGGAGGCCAGGAGCGCGCCCTCAAACAGCGAGAGCCGCCCGCCCGCCGGGCCGTCACCTTGCCAAGCCCTGTTTACACCGCGCAGCTGGGACGGCGCTTTAACTAAACAAGTAACAACGCAATAATGAAGGGGCTGTCGCCGCACGCCGAGGCCGCCCGGCGCCACGAGACCCTGGCCTCGGGCTCTGCCCACCCACCCACCGCGCGCGTTCCTCCCCTGCCTTCCCAACGCGCCCGGAGCCCGGGACTGCTCTCCGCCCTCGCTCCTCGAACCCAGCTCCTCCCCGTGGGCCAGGGGGGCAGGTCTATCGCAAAGGGGGCCGCTCAGATCCCCAAGGAAATGTCTCCCGGACCCAGGTTAGTCCGCCACACCAGACACAGTCCCATTCCCGGGAAAGTGCCTCCGGCGAACTCCTACAGAGCAACAAAGTCCAGAGTAGCCTGGGACCTCGGAGGCCGAGGTTAATCCTTCCAAGGGGGCGGGACGAAGGGCTCTGGGTCTCGGCGATCCCCCTTATTCCAACCCAACGGGACTCTTGGGCGAGAAGCAGCTCCGCGCGCGCCGACAGCAGCACTTCCGCGGTGCAGAGGACCCGGACGGGAGGTGGGGGCGGGGGTCCCAGCTGGGCCGGAGGGCCGCGGTCCCGGGGCTGCGCGCCGTACCTTGCAGGCGGAGTACACTCCGAGTTTCTCCAGTTTCTTGGCCCGCGGCGCGGAGCGCAGCTGCGCCTTCTTCACGGCGATCCGGGCCGAGCCGCCGCCTCCCGGGCCCTCGGCCGTG